GCCTTGACGCGCGTCAACCATTGACTTTGCATGTAAACTCGCTGCTTCTGTCGCGCCAGCTGCGTCCGGTGTGAATGCAGCATTATACATTGCACAAGTTATTGCTGTTGTATTGTCACATTGTAGAGTCTGGTTGCAGCAGGGCTGAATGACATGTGGTAGCGCTCCTTTTTACAAACGGGGAGTAATTGTCTTTCACTAAAGGAGCTGCTCAGCTCCTCTACAGTCTGGTGCAGAGGGTGGAAGGTGTTCATGATGGACGTAAGCTTGGACGACCCCCTCCTCTCAGCCACTTCCTCAGCTGAGTCCAGAGCACAACCTAGGACAGGCTATATGTAGCCATTTTAGCATTATTGAGTCTTTTAAAAGGTCCGGTTGGAGTTGTGTAAATAAAACTTCTGACTTACTTATGTTCCTTCTACATAGAGCACATCACTCTAGTCTTATAACATTACTACTATTTCTTTAGCACTTTAAGCCACTTTTTAAACTTTAATGGAACATATGTCTGTTTGATGACATGTGCCATTTTGGCTCTTGCTGAACCGATAACTTGCTGTGGCCGGTCGCATTCAGCCTGCAGGCCTGGAGGGTGACGCATTTGTTTCAAGTGATTCTCCTTTTTTAACTAATGTTAATTTTTCTTTTCTTTTTTTTTTTTTTAGAAACGATTGCAGGGCAGATTGAAATCCCCTCTGTGTTCACCAGCGACCGTGCTGCAAAATTGCTCAAGACTGTCCTTCATGAACCTGGGTGAGGAAAAAAATACCTGATCAGAGAAAGGATGCTGTATAACGGCCAGCTTTAGATTTGGACCTGATAATAGTTAAAGTTGTTTTTCTCTTTGTCGACAGAGCCTATGTGATACTGAAGCCCGAGTTCACTTTTCCACTTTCATATTACCTGATTCCATTTACTGGGGTGGTTGGCATGATTATTCTTGTCATGTGTGTAATCCTGGTAAGTAGAAATAATACATTATTTCTTTTATTTTATTTCTATGCTTGCATCAGGATATATTACTGATCTTTAGGAATGTTTCCAGTATACCATGCCCTCCTACTGCTAACAGAGGATTGTTTTTCGATGAGTGTGGAGTAACGGCGGGTTATACTCCTGCATCAGTATGTTGCAGTGAGCTTTGCGAAGATATTTTTGAATTATGCCCAACATTGAAGCGTGGTCTGCTCTATGTTATTCCACACCACAACGCAAGAGGGACAGTCACAAACTAGCTGTTGGTCTGGGTCTAGATAAGGCAGAGGTGGTGAGGATGTGGTGGCAAGTTTGTGCGAGAACAGAGAGACATGAGGGCGAAAAAGAGCAGGGATCCAGGTGGAAAAAGGCTCTTCTAGCTGGTGCATCTTCATGAGTCGTTTTCCATAATTGCGGTCATACAAACAAGACAAGCCGTTTTTTCGTTGTGATCACTGAGTCCAGGCCCGGCTATTTTTGCCCAAATATAATAACACTTGACTCCTGACACCTTCTAGCGTTGACATCACGGTGCGGTAAGCCTAGTGTCATTCTCCCTGCTTTACAAGCGAAATCAATGGGATCTACTAGACACATCTGCAATCAACAACAATTATTGAAGATTTAAAGAGAACTTCACCATTGAAATTTGCGAGAGCTATAGTTAAAGTGACAATGCCCACGTGCATGGCAGTTGGATGTTGTAATACATTGGATAAAAGTGGAAAAAAAAAATTGCTTATTTCACCTTTCCAAATCATGATCCTCCACGGAGAGGTTTGTCATTGGATTGCCTAATTGAAGAGGGAGGATTTGACATCAAAGTTCTGGCCAGAGATAAAACACTTCATTAATCGGTTATTCTCTGCTTCGCATAGTGCACTGATTATCACCATCATGGATAATAGCGCGTTGTGACAAACATAAGATACAGCACTAAGACTTGCTCAATGTCACAAACCAGTAGGTGGCAGTAGTGTTTTGCTTCCGAGACACCGACCACAACCAAACTTGCTTGGGAACCTTCCGCCAAAACAATCCCGCCCCCTTGATAATCGATCAGGCAAATTTACTTTATTCACCCGTGTAAAGTCGGGCACCACTCGGGAGATTTCGAAAATGCAAAGTTGAAACAGCCGCTTCACTACAACTTTAATGTAGATCACTTTCAACACATCGTCAGAGCTGATTGCAGCCTGTTTAACCTGGTGGGCTGCAGCGTGTTAAGCGTCCCAGAAGCACCCAGCACTGGCAGCCTCTCGAAAATACACGTCCGTTTGAATTTACACCATTAGGGTTGTTGAAAAATATATATACTATAAAAAATATCAAACTCTGACCTTGTATCTGGATACATAACTAATCTGGCATGATATTGATACTAAGGACAGTATTTGTTTGCATGTTTTTGCTTTTGCTAATGTTTGATTTCTGGATTACTTCCACATTTTGAGAAAAATACCTCAAACAACCTTAACATTGTGTTATATTTTTGCTGTTGATTTGCATTTATTTGCACACATAGTTAGTTAGCGTCTGTAATTCTGTTAAGAAGGATTTTCCATATTGAGGTTGGAAAAAGGAATTTTTCATTTAGATAAAACATTTTTATGGCTTTAGTTATTTCCCTGTGTATCACAGATGGTTTTGAGTACCAGCTATTTTCCTGCTTATCAATATAAAGTTTTAAATGATAACATCTGCACAACGCTGATAACTGAACTGACTCTACATTAATCTAGAGCAGAGAGGATCGTTCAGGCAGGAAATCAGGGGATGAAAAGCAATGCACATCTAAAAAAAATAAAAAATATTATCATATCCGTCATTGAAATGTAACTGTATAGCTCTAATTTTAACAGACAAAAAGATGGTAATTAGAGGCTGGTTTCTGGGTTAGTTAAGCCTGAGTTAAAAGTTTATTACCCCTGTAGAAGGAGTTAAAATAGGAATGATCCAGAGAAACATAATTTTAAAATTAAATGGTTACAGATTTTGGCTCTTTACACAAAAGTTTTTTTTTTTTTTTTTTAGATAACCAGCACTCAAATGAAGTTATAGTTAAGTCTGTTGGATAAAACGTAATTATATAACATTATTGCCTTGTACTTTGCCATGGCTACCAGAGGCCCACTTTGCTTTTGTTGTACAGCCATATATGGTGAGAGGCTGCTGAAATTCCCCTTTAAATGCAGCTTTTATTGATTAGACACACATCACCCTAATGTTTTAATCAGCCTGTTTGAAGTTTCAGTGTATTAACTGTTTTCTTCCAGGTTATACGATGCGTTCAGTACAGAAAACGTATGAGGAAAAACCGTTTGACCAAAGAGCAGCTGAAGCGCATTCCAACTCATAAGTTCAGGAAAGGTAACGCGTTCTCTCTTCTTTTTACCATGACTCTCATTAATCACACCATTGATCCTTTTGTTGTATTTTGTTCAACTCAATCAGCAGGTGATTGATATGCTTGATATTTTCCTTTAAATCTGTATATTTGTGTGTCTAATGAATCAGTTTTATGAGCGCTGAATAATCTGGGATGTCAAAGTTACAGTTCTAACACCAATAGCTACTTTTTAATGAAGGGAATTTCATTCATTTTCGTTGCAAGCAAAGAACTGATACTGTCTAAAGGAATGCAACTTTGCATAAAGTTTCAATCCATGAGTTTTCCGAGTAACTTTCTTGATTAAAAAAAATACAATTCTAATTCATTTTTCCAATTTTCTTTTTTAAATGTTTTTTTACATAATTTTTTATTTATTTGATAGAATTTTATTTAAAAACAAAAAACGTTTTACATATTATATATATATATATATATATATATATATATATATATATATATATATCATTTATTTTTTTCTTTGTTTTTGTTTTTATATTTCACTGTTGTAGATCGAGTTTTACCAATTACATTCTTTTCAAATGACGTTTTATAGATCACATATTCTTCACTTCTGGGGGCGCTCTCTGCTCTTAAGCGCAGTTTGCAATTTGTAAAACTCAATAAGAAAATTGGACTGAAAATATAGAATTTGTTAACAATTATGAAATAAAAAAATATAAAATTGAAATTTTTGAAAAAAATTAAAACAAAATATGAAAAATATGAAAAACTTAATTAAAACAGTTTCATTTTTTAATTGCATTTTTTTTATCTTCAAATTTTTATTTACAAAAATTTTTGTCTTTTTAAAAAAAAAAAAAAAACTCCATTTACAAAACATGTTCTTTGCTTAGAACATTATCAGAATAAAATGTTCTCCATAGAATTTACAGGAACTGTATGTCGGTTTCCGATAGCTCTCCCCAGAAAGAACCAGGTCCAAACACGACAAAACCAGTCCTGTGACTAACAGGACTGGTTCAGAGACACAGAAGCAAAACACAAAACTCTAAAGCTTGCCTGTTAATCGGGTAGCAGAGTGATTGTGTCTGCTAGAAATTTTAATGGACTCCCAAGTTTCCCTGAATTCCCAGATGGAGCTGCTGCCTGAACATCTGAGTTTTTCTAGCATAGTTATGATCTGCTTCCTTCATTCAGCAATTGTGAGGGGAAGGAATATTTAGTTTATAGATAGGCAAAAGTCTGTCAGAAAAAAACGCTGAAAACACATTCAGTATAACTGTTTAACTCTCATCAGCTGGTGACTATTTGCATTTATTGCAAAAAAAAATAAAATATATTTCAGTATATTTTAGAAACTTTATGAAATATTTGGCACTAGTTCAGGTCATGTTGGTCATAGATTGAGGCCCCTGGTCCTACTTTAAAATATTTTCACTATTTATATATCAAGATACATATTGAAGTCCTGTATTGACCTCTAACTATGTATCAATCCTTCAAGCAGACGGCTCTTCTCAGAATCTCACCTAGTGACCTGAGAGGTCCAGATCTGCCTCTGAATCAGTTATGTGACCCAGAGCGCCGCTTTACAACATTCTGAGCTCCCCTTAAACAGCAGAGCCAACTAAGCTAACATTGGTTCCTAGCCATCAAAACAGATCTGAGCCTTACCCGATCAGACATATTTTTGATTCTCTAATGTAGGATTTAATCTAGGCAGGTGAATGTTTCATTGTCTTTACCAGGAACTCACAATTCTCATTTCGCTTTCCAAAAAGGTCTCGTAGCAGTTTCCAAAGCAGAGACAAAGACGATGGCCTTCAGGGGTGCTAAACCTCACTCATACCCCTTTCCCACTTGCTGAAAACCCATTTAAACCCGGGAACAGTCGGCTTTTAGTGGGAGTGGGAACAGATCACTGATGTGTTTCTACCCGGTTCAAACAGCTCGGCAAGCGACCCACATTTAAATTGCCTCTGCTCTGATCGACATGCTGTGGGAACACCAGAGGAGTTCTGTCAGATCAGCATGCCTATAGCAGAGATGGGAAATGTGGAGTCAACAAGTTCTCTCCATGACCCACTGAAGTAGGTGAGTCCAATCTTCACCGTGAATCAACCTGTGCAGATTGGACTCAACTGGTTAATATGCTGGGTAGATTAAATACATGATATGGAGATGATTTGTTGACTCCACATTTCCCATCTCTGGCCTATAGTCAATATGCATGCGCAAGACGTCAGATTTGCGTTAATCCCTTTAGTTTTGTACAAAAAAAAAAAAAATGCACGCTCAGATCACCATAAGCTTAAAAAAACACCAAAAAGTAAGTGGTTAAATTGTTTTTTGTACATGACTAAAGGGATACACGCCCGTTGAGGTAGTTTAAAGTCTATTGTCTGTATAAAACTAAAGGGATAAACGGGTATTGACTATGGGTATGTTGGTCTGACCGGGTATACTCATCAGACAGAACACCGGGTCGACCCGCTAAATTACGTAATACCATTGAACTCAACATATGGACGTCGACACCGTGCCAGTTGCTTCTGATCTAACAAGCAGAGCAACTCTGTTTACATTCGATAAACAGGGAGCCGCTCTGGTGAGAGGGATTCAGACAGATAATAGACAGAAACAATAAAGCACACTGACTATGCCCTGGCTTCTTTAAATGTTGCTCTCCATTGTTTACTTTCCTGATGCCTGTCGCACTGGTGACATCATCAATGCTAACCCAACGTTATGATGTCACCAGTCACACAGCTGCGGACAGAGGCCACGCAGCTGCCAGCGAGGGGTTAGACTCGGCTTTTCGGTCAAATTGGAAAAGAGCCAAAAGCCAGTTGTTAGCGGGTCGACCCGGTTTTAAAAAACCTGGGTTTTCAGTGGGAAAGCAGCTTCAGTTCATTCAGCTTCACTTTAATGAATCCAGTCCTCATTCTTCTGGGCCTTCTTTTCCTTTCAGGAGATGACTACGATCTATGTGCCATCTGTCTGGATGAGTATGAAGAAGGAGACAAGCTGAGAGTTTTACCTTGCTCACATGGTAAACGTCCTCTGCGCCATTTAAAAGTCTCAGAGGAAGAAATCACTCATATATCATCTTAAAGTTTTATGAAGATTTTAACTTATTTTTTAATATTTCTGTGTCATAAAAAAAAAAAACATTTATTTGTACACTTAATTGTTTCTTTTCTGGTAATTCATTTGTCAGCATATCACTGCAAGTGCGTCGACCCATGGCTCACCCTGACCAAGAAGACATGCCCTGTGTGCAAACAGCGCGTTACACGAAACAACCCAGGGCACCCCGAGTCCGACTCCGAGGAGGAAACCGGTGGTCCGAGAGAGGAGGAGGAGCAGGCAGCAGAGGGGACGGGGGACTCTGAGCGCACTCCTTTGCTCCGCCCGTCCACGCCTAGCTCTCCTCCTGGGAACCCAGGAGCCTACTCAGCCACCACCACCACTGCCCAGTGCCTTGTCTCTCCGCCGCACCCTGACTCCCCCATCCGGAGCTACGAAGGTTACTACTCCCCACAAGAAGACACAGAGTCTGAGAGTAGTGACGGGGGAGAGGATCAGCACTACAGTGACAGCGACACGGCTCAGCTAATTGGCAGGAAGGACCTGGTGGTGTGAACCTTTTGGCAAAAAAAGCCAGTTTTACTCCGAAAGGAAGAAAAGCAAACGGGGAGGGAAGTTTCGCCATTTTAAGTGTGCCGATTTAGCGTGCTGTTGCTGTTTGGATTATTATCACACTTCTAAACAATTTCCACATTTGTCATTTTCTAACAAATGTTTTTTCCACTTATCAGAGGGAGACTTATTTTGAAAGTTAAGGCAGTAAATCTGTTTCACCAAAGTAAATTTTAAGCTATTCCCCTCACATAGACATGGTAACCCTTACTCTCACTCTGCCCGCCCACTTCCTGTCTGATTCTGTGACTTTATTACACTACAGGACCTGATCACTAAAGCCGCCCCATTGTAGGTCTGACCAAAGCTAATCTGGTTGAAGTGGTTTAGGGAGGAATCCTGCTGAGGTTGGAATGGGTGGGGGTGTCTTCTCGCTTTTACTTTTGTTAAGGAAGAATAAATGTTTCTCGTTTCGATGATAAAATCCACTATTCTAGAACGTCTGAAAGCTTTTATACCTTGATGTTGGCATTGCTCTGTGGGCAGTTTTTGGTTTGATCCCATTTATTGATTTTGAGTGAACTCAGGTTTATTTCACAGTTAAAGGTCAGTGAGAATCTGAAGTGAAAAACCAAGTGCAAAAAAAAAAAGAACGGATGGGTTTCAGTTATAATTTTTGTTTTCTTTGCTTCTTTTACTTCTTTATTTTCAGTTTTTACATACGTACAGATTGAGCATTAAAACGCATTGCCTTACATTGGCCTTGATGTTCATGTTAAATGTTCGCTAATCGAGTAGTCGAGGTAGACACTCCTTCCTCAGTTTTAGTTTGATTTTTCTTGTTGAATTGTGTCTTGTTTCATGGTGTAATAACTTGTTTCCTGTTTTTGTTTTTTTAAGTGGAGGGAGTTTGTTTCTGTGGAAAGATTGTTTTATTTGTACCCTAACATCAGATAGATCAGGGCTAAACTAAGGCTGGTTATGCTCTTTTTAATACGGCCTGTTTAGTGTCATTTGTGTGAAAAACACAAATGGGACGTTTTAGAAGGTTTTGACCGTACTGTTTTAATGCTTAAATAAGAAAAAAAGGACCATCTTTAACATGAGCTCTGAAGTTGAAAAGTATTGACTACTGTTAAAATTTGCTGATCTGTGTGACTCTAAAATCGAATAAACAGGGTTTTTTTTTTTTTTTTTTTAAACCATTTCGCTTTTAACAAGCTGTTCATACATGTACATTAGGATTTATGATTTTTCTATTGAGGAAGAGTGCAATTATTGTATTATTTGATTTAATGCATCATAAAATACTAAATATGATGGAGAAATGATTGGGATTATCATCTTGTCAGCAGGGGTTGAAGGTGCATCACTAAAAATGTGGATTACTAGAATTCCTTCCTTCACATTTTTCTGCCAGTGAGCCTCCCCACGTTGTCAAGGATTGATCTGGATCTGTTCGCAATAGAAGGACTCTTTTCATATTTACAAATTGCTTTGAATTTATATTTTGTACTGTAGTTTTTTTTCTATATCTGAGCTTTAGTCTGTTAATGGAAACAAATGGAAATGTAAAATCATTTAAAACTCAATTATCACACGTTTTTATTTTAAATTTTTTTTTTAGAATGTGCCTGAGTTATCAGACATTACATGTACAGTCTGTAAAGACTCATAGAAGGTAAGATTAAATGTCTTTATTGTGAACGATTTAAAAGAATTTAAATGGGATGTGTTGCCATAATTTGCTGGAAAAGGAAAGTTGATGTGATTTCTCTCTACAGATGCTCATTGACACATGATTCTTGATAATAAAGCCACTATAATAAAATAAAAATCTTGGGAGAGTCTTATTATTTAGTCTTTTATATTCCCATTAGTGATCACTTGGAAAAAAATTAAAGCAGCACATCAGCACTGTGTGAAAGGATCCATCTAACTTGAATCATTTTATTAAATCACAAACTAGCATGTTTTCCTTTAGTGTAACACTTTTGACATTACGGGAGCTTTCTGAACATTATAAGAGTAGGACAGATTTAAAAAAGAAAAAGTCATATTACCAGAATAAAGCCATAAAGATATGAGAGGAAGGTCTTAATATGTCACGTAATATAGTTGCTATAATGAAAAGAAAGCTTTTATAGTTACTAAGATCTGATGTGATCAGCTGAACCAAACCGCAGCCTTAACCTGAACACAGTATTTTAACCCATGCAACACTATTATTTGCAAAATAAAGAATTACATAATTGGTGATGTCATTCAGATGAGTTGTCTGTCAATGCTGAAAGGAGAATAAGTCAAACAAGGCTTTTTAAGGATGAAGCTCACAGGTGATCAAAGGAGAAGGATAGAATGACTACTGAATCATGGAGCCTGGGAATAGAAATAAAAATGGGTTTGTTGTCTAACCCTGGGCTCTGTATCATAAAAAAACTGGTAATTCAGTCATTTGATTTAAGTGTGTTGGAACAGATGCTGCTGACATCAACACCTTTGTTTATGGATGTTGGAGATCGGCCTGTTTTTCATTGTAGTCCTGTATCTCTGACCGTGACTGGCTGGATGTGCTCTCTTTCATCCTCTGACATGGGAGCCGGCTCAGAGCTCATCTGTCTGGCTGTGTGTTTCCTGGACGGGGCCGCCTTTTACAGCTGCTTTTTATATCTCTGCTTCTGTCTCCTTGAACCCCAGTCGGCCTCGGCAGATGGCCGCTCACACTGAGCCTGGTTCTGCTGGAGGTTTCTTCCTGTTAAAAGGGAGTTTTTCCTCTCCACTGTCGCTACAAGCATGCTTAGTGTGAGGGATTGCCTTCAAGTCAATGAGTCGATGCAATCAGCTGGTTTTCTTTATATAGAAAACTTTGAATCAATTTGACACTATGATCTGGTGAACTGTAAAGTGCCTTGAGATGACGTGTTGTGAATTTGCGCTATATAAATAAACTGAATTGAATTGAACAGGGATGCATCCAATATCTGCATCATAGATCTAAAGGCTCAGAGTTGGAGACCTCTGCTTTAGACCATTTCTCCCCCAGACTTTGGATAAATAGTCAATTCTCTACACCTGTTTCCTCATTTGTTCTACCGTTTGCCTGTTTCTTCTTCTACCTCATCAAGTCCATTGTTCATTTCTGTGTCTCCTCGCCTGGAACTGGTTCGTCTGCCTGAAGAAGCTTAATTAAGTTTAAAACTCACCACGCTGCTTCCTGGTGTCAGTCTGCATTTCGGACAACAGTGAGTTTTGTTACAGCTGTAGAATAAAAATTATCTGATCAATTCTTGTTTTAATTGCTCTGTACTGTTCTAATAAGTCCTCCAGTGAAGGGACAGTGCAGCTAATGATTTTTTTTGCCTGTAATCACAACCCTGCATAGAGGTTTCCATTGGTATATACCATACATAGATGCAGTCTGTTAGTATAGTCTCTATGGAGCACTGAGGTGTCAAAATAAAACACCATCATTACTCAACTAGAACTAAAGATACCTGGATCACAGAAGGTGTTTGAAGATGTTAAAGTATTAGCTCAACTTTTTATTCAGGCAGAAGTATAAGATTAAAAGTTTCAAACTACCTGAAATATTAAACTAAAGGAGGAAAAGGGTAGGAGAAAAAATGCCACAAAGTACAAAAGCTTGTTTGTTATTTAAAAATGCCAACGTTGAATAATTTGGAATTAACTAGGCTACCTATCTCAGCTGGATATATTTCCATCATTTATGTACAGTGGGAAATATATTAAAGAACCAGTTTTTGCACTGGTGAGTAGCAATGTGCTTCATGAAGCCCAAGATATGATGACAAATTGCCTATGGGGCAAAGAGTCAGACTTTATAGGCATTTATTGGAGATAAAGCAAAGGTTACAAAACAGTACAGGAACCAGTTAATCCAAGGCAGACTTTGCAACAATCATTTCGGTGGGTTATTCAGGTAAACAGTACAGAAAAATCATTATCTCTGAAAGCAACTAATGAAAAACCATGCACAATACTCCATTTGACCATGGATGTACAAAAGTTGTCTGTTCTTGGCTGGAACATTCCTGTTGACTTCTATATGATGTTTTTCCTCTGTTCCTCTGCTACCCCCATGCTGAATTTTGAGATAAAGGTCCTCTGTCTATAGTCCTGATCAGACGGACCAATAGGGTGACTGGATGGTTAACGTTTACTCCTTTCATCCATTCACTGTCAAAATGTTTTTATCCAAATAGCGCAGTTTATATGTGTTTTCTTCCACCCAAAGATGACAATTTGTTATTATAATGAGTAATGAGGTCACTTTTTGAAAATGTAAAGAGTAGAAAGTTCTGATGATGTCATGGAAATTTAAGGAGTAAAAGTATAAGGTTGACTGAAAAATATTTACTCCAGTAAAGTATAGATACCCAAATTTCTACTTAATTAAGGTAAAGAAGGATTTATACTTCTTTACTTGACACCTCTGAGAAAGACACAAGCAGTTTTTGCTTCATATTGAGGAACCTCAGGGAGTATAGTCTGTTCTGGGCCTTTCTTGTCAGCATTTGTCATGATCTGCCACTCTGCACTTTTTGGTTCTGTAAATTTTCATTTTGGGTTCTCAGTGCTGTTTCACCTATACCAGTATCAGTATTGGACGGGGCCCCAGTATAGCACTAAAATTGTGGTATTGGTATCGGCGAGTACCAACAAATAGGGCACCGATACCATTTTGAGAGTCAAAAGTTTATTCAACTATTGTCACCCATTCCAGGTAGGCAATAAAAACTTCCATCTGGGTTCACTTTATATTAGTCTTTTTCCTGCTTCACAAAGGTAGGGAGCAGCTTGACAAAGCCATGATGGCAATTATTTTGCATCCAAATAGTATGCAGTTCTTAATATCTTCATATATACACACACACACATCAATTTCACACAGATGGTATCTGTATCAGCCAAGGCTGCACAGCCAGGTATCAGGTATTGGTATCAGGGCCAAAAAATGGCATCGGCACAACACTAGTTCTCAGTTATGAATTTTTTTGCTATTCTGTTTTGTCAAGAATTGTATCATTTATGCTGTTGTTTATTCCTTGGTCTAGTTTTAGTTAGTTATTCCTTCTCGTATCCTCTAGTTTTCCCCTTGGTTAATCCTTACTTTGTAGTCATTAGTTTTATTCCTCTTTACCCTTATTCAAGTTCCTTTCTAGTTACAGTTAAGCCCTGTTTTCTCTGGTTGCTCTTTGTTGCCACGTGGTGCCCTTTTCCTTTCCCCTTAGCTCCTTTCTAGCTGATTCTGTCAACGCCTGCTTCCAATTAACTAGTTACTCCACTCTTGGTTCTGTCTCCCTTATATAATCCTCCTCTGCAGTTCATCAGTGCTGGATTCTCTTCATTGCTTTGCTCCCCGTGTGTTGTTTCTCTCTGCCGTCTCCTGTTTTTTTGGTTTCTTGCATTTGTTATTGTATTTTGTTTGTGTTGCCCTTTTTGATTAAATTATGCAAGAACCCATCTCTGCCTCCTTATCTCTGCATTTGGGTCCTCAACCAACTTCCACCAAACCTTGACAGCAATAAACACTGGTTCACCCTAAATTTTCCTAAATTAAATCCAATAACCTTCAATTATTTAAATAGGTACTAAATCAGTATCAAGTACTTTATTGCCTCTGGTTGATTACTCCTCCATCTTTCCCTCCCCACTGATTGATTCTGGGTCTAATCCTTCATAATATCCCTTTGTTTGCTTACTTACATCTTCTCAGATCCCTTTCTGATGTTTTTTTACTTATTTATACTGTGTGTTTTAATATTATGTCTTTTTCTATGTTAAACTATGTAAGGTGTCCAAAACGGTCCCCATAAATAAAATGTTTTATTATTATAAGATCCCAATTAAACACATTGAAGTTTGTAGTCTTTAAAAAAAGGTGCACTACTTGCTATCACCATTTGACTTAAAGAAGAAAGCTCAGGGGTTTTATGTCGACACAATATGCTTTGCATGTACTGCGTATTCCTGGCTCTCATTGTTTCTACTGGTCCAGTGTTTGTGGGTGACATATTCATAACTTGGAACATGTTTCATTCAGCTATTCGGCTAATTAGTCCCTATCAAAATGGATTAAAGGCTACAGGTTTAATACCAAACAAAACTTTATTCTTTCAGTTATTATTTCTAATAAAACCATCTGTGACTCATTCGAGTTCAGCTGACGAAGACTAGAAGAAACGAGGAAGAAAATGAAAATGTTTAATTTTGCAGAAGCAATAGAGTGGATTATCTTTCATCTGATGGTGTACCATATAACAAGTGGTGACTTGAAATAGGATCAGTGTTAGTCTGTCTGACAGACCTTTATAAAATGTTAGTTTTAGAATTGGTTCCCTTGTTTTTCTGTTCAATTTAGGTGGAACAATGCTTGACTTGTTCAGCCTTGAATAATTTATAGGGAAAGATTTAAGAACAAAACAAACAACAGTGTTGTCCCACAAAACTATCCCATATTTGTCTGTGATAGCTGTGAATAAAAGTAAAAAACGAACAATAATTTAATTGTTAATCATAGCAGTTTAGCTCTTTTACTTCTTCTCACATTGTTGTTACCCTTAATATATTTTGTCGAGATTTTGCCCCATTTAATTTGATAATTCAAAATAAAATCAAGTGCAAAAGTCATAAATATAAAAAAATATATTTTTCTCCAGTTTTTTCGCTTTTTAATAACAGCTACTCTGAAAACTATTTTTGGTTTTACTAAAGAAGGTTAGCCAACAAATGTCTTTGTCACGGTCTTGGTTCTGTTAAGTTTTCTTTTGAGTATTCCGTTTTAATTTGATTCAT